GAGAGAGAGAGAGAGGACAGCCGCCGCACCGACCGGCACCGATGACGAGATACGGAAGCGATGATGAGGGCGAGGAAAGAAGGCGCGATAGGACGGAAAGCGTGTGCGTGTGAAGACGATGCCTCGTTTCGAGGTATACGCCTGATTGCGAGGTAGCGTGTGCGTTTAGGCATAGAGGAAAGAAGAGAAGAAGGAAGGAAGTGGCGAACGACTAATGAGAGTGAGAGAGAGAGCGAGAGCGAGAGTGAGAGAGAGAAAGAGAGAGAGAGAGAGAGAATGAGAGCGTGTATATGTGCTAAAAGCCAAAACACCCGATAAGGACTCGGAGGCGCGAGACGCTCGTTCGACGAAAGCCACCGTGTGGCTATCACCATCCATATAACCCACACACACACACACACACACACCCACACGCGCGTATATAACGCCCACACAGGTACACACATAAACACACACGCGCGCGCAAAAGTAAACGTATATATACTTTATACCACAGCGGACCGGCGGACGTTCGAACGATGCATCGAGCGCGCCCACACCTGTGACAGTAAGGACACACTCAATGCGTTTTACACGTAGAGATACACGCGACACACACGTACACACAAGCAGGACAAGCATACGGATCTTCCCCGACACAATCCAAACAATGCGGATACGAAACCTACACGGGCACACGTTTTAGACCACACGTCACACGCGAGCATCCATGCACCGAGACACCACGTGTTGAAAAAAGAAAAAAAACGAAGAAAAAACCACATTATACGCGACACTAAACCTACACAGATATTACCAACGTGTAATAATTTATTTTTTCACTGGTATATAGTCGGAGAATTGATAATGAATATATCTGTAGAGCCTATATATGTATTATATTCAAGATGCACTCACTCTTCACGGGTTCTCGCGGAACGGTAGGAACTTACACACTTGTCCCCACTCGTGTCGAGCGAGCCGTCGGGAGATCGTCCGGTGGACCGATTAGGTCTTTGTAAGGTAAGGAGTCTTCCAACTTTCTCCATCGATCGAGCGTCGACACGTCGCGACGCGGGGCGTTGCTTCGTTTCGCGCGGATTACGCGGCCGAATACACGCAGCACCGGAGAGTAATATATATATATATATATGTGTGTGTGTGTGTAAAACGCGGAAGCTATTCAGGCACTAAATACGTAAATACGCGTCCAAACGAGTACGGGAAAGAAAAAAAAAAATCGGATCGCGGATAGCTTCCCCGCGAAGATCCTTAGAATCGAGATAAAAAAAAATAAGTGAATAAAGAAACCTACAAAAGACGGCCCGTTCATTCGCACGAGACGGATAGATAGATAAGATCTGAGGAGAAACAACACGATTAGGACGAAGGATCGATCCTTCCATGAGCGTATAGTGATAATATAGGGAAAGAGAGGAAAACGAGCTCGCAGTTTTATACCGTTCGGGAAACTCGTCCTCGGTACGATTTTACATTTTATTTTTATAATAAATGCAGTAGAACGTAGGAGAAAACGAGAGCGCGCGCGAGAGAGAAAGAGAGAGAGAGAGAGAGAAAGAAAGAGAGAATGCGGTGAGTGATATGCAAGGGACAAAGAGGGGTGGAAGGGGGAGAAAAGTAGAGAGAAATAGAAAAAGAGCCAGCCGGTGTGTTCGTAAGGGACGTAAGTGGCCTCGTTGCTGTTCCCTCGATATTTGTTCGCTTACGCGTGCAAGCCGCTCACCCGCCCGCCCGTCCACCGCAGAAAAACCATCGGGAATCGATTTCCTTTCGAGATATTGCCTTTCGATTTGACATCCGGAGTCGATGACCTTCCGAGCTGTCGGGGTGCCTCTTCGAATCGCTAAACCTCGGCAACAGCTCCTCCTCGCCATTGTGTTTGAACAAAGCCGGAAGTTGCTCGATTATTTTTTTAATCATCATTGATCCTCGTTGATTAAAATACTTTGGATATGAAAATAATAAGTTAAGCCGCGATCCGAAGTTTAGCAATAGTTTGCTACGAAGTTGATTCCTGTCTCGATAGTATTCTCTTAATCAAACCAAATCGCCCGCGGGGCTCTACGGTGCTAAGAAAAGAGTCAAGTACAAACATAGAGCCAACCGAAAGAACAGCGGGTGGGATGAGATTCGGGAGAGCAACGCTGCCGCTTAACGTCCACGGGGTTAATTAGGTGATTACTTAATTAAAGGCCGCGCTTCACTGTCCTTGTCGGCGAGGCAACGGGTTCGTTCATTCGCGAGAATCATTCGTACGTTAAAAACCGGTTGTTTTTATGGATTCTGATTAAAGCGAGTATTAAATTTGCGCACAGTTATTTTATTTATTCTCGGGATATCTATTGCATTGAAAAATCTGGAATCTCTCAGGGAATTTTTATGAAAGTTGCTTCTTCAATTTTGCTCTTATTCTGCGATCGGCGTGTAATAAGCCTTCCATTTCTCTTCAGCACTTTTTTAGATTTGTTTGAAATTTTAGTAAGGTTGTCTCACAGGATTATGTGAGTATGAAACATCAATAATCTTGTGCGCACAGAAACTGATTTAGATTATTTAAAATTTTATCTAAAAGTCCAGTTTTACGTTGGAGAATTGAAAAATTCTCAGAGAGCTTTTTTCCGATGATTGAGTAGACATCCCGATTCCGGAATTTAATATACTCGCTTTAATACCGATCTTGTAACAAGTTTACTCTCGCGGTTTAAGTTTAATCGAGTCGGGTGCGCGATCAATCGGAGCTACAGGATGTTCATTTTGGAACGCCATCAAAGCTTCGCTTCGTAATAAACATCTGATATAATACAGTTGTGACTATCAAACTTTACAAGGAAGAGCTTCTTTCATTAGTTAAAATTGTCTTTCTTCCGTAAAAAAAACTGCCTATAAAGAACCGTGGATCGCGTTTCAAGATGAACATCTCCCTCAACATTTTATCCGCCTTGCGCCTTCGAGATCGATTACCGATCGACTTCTCAACACTGTTCGCATACAGCTATTCAAATTTCTCGCACTGAAAATAATTCAAAATTAATTGCGCTTCATAATTTCCAAGATAATAACGCGAATCCCCGAGGGAATAATAACGCTCGGCATACACGCGAGCCGAGAAACTCGGGAATTTTCGCGAAAATATAGTGAACTTTTCGCTGTTCGCGGTATTCGATCTCTCCCGGATGCAACGGCCGGGGAGCCTCGCCGACGAACATTTCGCGATCTCGCGCGACAGTAACGGCGGCGGAAGTGTCGCGAGCCGCGGACACTAGGTGCTAAAAGTATTCAAGAGTGTTAATCCTATGGTCGTGGGACAAAATGTGCACGGAGCGAGCCCAGGGGTATCCGGAGACCGCCGGCGTCGATCCGCGACACACCGATCCCTGGCCGCGTCTACGCGTCTCCTCTACTTAGACTAATTTCTAACGATGTTCGTGTTAGCGCGTCGATATAGCCGTAGCGTGTAAATGTTTAGCGTAATTTTTAGAAATGATGTGTTTAGTCGTTCTTTCTTACGGACTTTTGTATAGGCCTTTTTGTAAATTATCCTCACTCGGTCGCGGCTTCCGAAAGCGGATCGCAAGATCGACGTTGGACTTACCTACCTGCAGCGCGTCCAAATTGGAGGGTTCGGTGCGAGATACATTCATGATTTATAAGGTTTCAAGCATGAAAGCCCGTACCTAAAGTAAACTTTACAAATTGCGAACCTGCTTCATCGTTGCACTGAAATTCTCAATTTCGCGGCGAACGTTGCCGATGTTTCTGCAACGTCGCGTGAGCTGTGTTTCCTTGGGAAGAATCGGGTTTTTTTTTATACGATACCTCGGTCCAAGCGAAGTGTAGTCGAAAATTATTAGTCAAACGTCGGCTCGGGGATTGGCGCGGGGTGGTCTCCGGACGGGCCGGGAATGCGAAATGAGTTTTATTAACCGCGGAACTAACTAAGTAGACGTGAGAGAGAACGCTGATGAAAAAAAAAAACAGAACCCTTTAGTAATATCTAAACTTAATTGTAAACTATTAACGATACGTACGACTGTGGTAGCTATGCTAGTACCTGCTATTGTTAAAGAGAAATCGACGAAGATGCGAATAAGATGGGGACGACAAAGGAAACGTGGAGGGAGTGCCGCAAGAATTGAGCTACGGCATAGTGCCTCAGTGCGTATCGAGATTCGATGACCGATTCGGTGACTGCCACGATGATTTTTCCACGTCACGAACATATCCTCGCTTAATATGTTTCGCTCGGTCCACTTTTCTTGATTTTAATAATTAATAACTTCATTATTGTTATTACCAAATGATGTGAAAGATATCAATTTACCACAGCTACTTTTTCCCCCATAGAGCTCTGATACATTGATTTTATAGATGGGGTTGTAGATGAACGTAGTGTAAATCGCGATCTTCAAGCTTGCAAGATTGATAAGCCTACCTTTTTCTTATCACAGATGATACGCACTCGAGTCATTGTGCATCGAGACCAGTTTCGCACCGCGATCTGTCAGTGAGCCTCGCGAACGATCCAAAGTTCATCCTGCGATAATAATCTTGTTCTTTGCGCGCGGCCGCCCCTTGTTTCCGTCGCGATCTTCCTCAAACAGACACGACATTTATTCTTGTAATTTTTCTAATCGTTCGCGCATGATTGATTTCAAACAGATTCTTCAGACTTTGTCGCAGCGGCGACAATTAGATTGGAAATCCGTCAGTCGTGTTTTCGCACATCGGGGACGGCGCGATCCGGCGCGAGTAACGTCGCATACGCGCGAGAGAATCTCGGACGGACATGAGAAAGAGTATTTTTTTTTTTTTTTCTTCTCTGATGAGGTCGCG